CTTGTCTTCCCCTAGTTTACACAGACTAAAACTTACTTTGCAAATATGACATTGCTCAGTATCCAAAATAAAATTCTTCTTTGGTAGTATTTTTTAAAACATAATATTAGGGGTGACAAGAGGTGCTATTACTGGTGTTACTTCTTGTGCATATCTTTGTAATTCTGAAACTTCCATGGTTCTAAGTCAGAAAAAAGCCCCTTGGGAGAGCTTACTCATGCCATTCTTTGGAAATGAATTGAAGTGTGAGAAGCTAGAGAAACTGCAGACAGCTGTAAAGAAGACTATGTAAAGGAACATGATTCTCTTGGCCATCTCTGAGCATTTTTTAAAAAACAGTCTTGTCCTTGGAAAGAATTTCTAAAGCTAACTGTCTTTCATCGCTGAAGATACAAAGAAATGCAAAGGAGATTCCCTGCCCAGCATTAAGCAGCCTAGTTTGAACCATAATTTCATATAAGAAATGTGGTGCTCAGACCTGAAAAGACATCAATATTTCATACACTAATTTCTTTGTTACCACAATGGCCAGTATTGAGCACTTAATAGAACCCATTAAGAATCTTGGATACATGTTTACTCAGAAATCAGCTTCACTGAGATCAATGATGTTTTTTGACAATATTTAAAAGCATAACTGCATTCTAAACTTCTTTCAAAATGTTCTTTATTTATATTTTTAATACAGTTTAAGTGCAGTTATTGATTTCAAATATGATTTAGCAATAATTTCATATTTACACAGTGAAATAGGTATCCAGCAATCTGGACTGAGCAATCCCTACTCATTTCAGCACTATGCTACATAAGTGCAGTGACTATATTTTCTTGGAAAAAATAAAGAACAAACCAGAAAAGGGGACAAGTCTGAAACAGGTTCATAAGGATAAAAAAAATAACTTTCTTTTACAAAGACAATTCAAGAGCAAAACCAAGAAAAACTGTTCAAAAATGTATAAAAAGGTATCTAAAATTAAACAGCATGTGTAAATTTATTTTTTAAAAGACAGTTCAATTTCTGTATTTTTCACATAAATGTAAAATACTGTGCATCAAGTGATTAAATGACCAAAATAAAAGGGAAAAGTGAATTTTAAAAAAACCTGACAGCTTTCTGAAATAACGGACTGTCCTTTATATAATAAGGGAGAAAGCCACAGTTTTTTAAAAAAATCTAGGACTGGCACTGAGATCATAATATGAACATTATATTGACGTTTGGGCCCAGTTACTTTTCAGGGTTCTTCTGAAACTATCTTGGAGGAATCATAAAAGATCAACCTAAGAATACTACACATCTCAGTTTATTTATTCCAAAGTACATTTGCAGGGAAACAAGTACAGAGTTGCAATCAAAATGTGTTAGAAAAGAACTGGCAATCAATATCTACCTTTATCCTACTAAAAGATATGGAACAGGCCCTCAAGTTTCCATGGGGATAATTCCCACTAGAATTCACAGTGGAGTTCAAAGAAAGTCTGCAAAGCACTTTGCACCAGTTGGAAGTAAGTCCCATGTAATTTGATAAGATACTTATAGGATCGCAAATGCTGCACTGCCATTTATGCATACATAACCTGGGCTTTTATTAACTTGTCTGTTAAACATGCAAGACTTTCTAAGACATTTAAAACACCCCATCAACCACTAACTCTCAAGGATTAAAAGGACGACATTGCCATCCAACCATTAGGTATCTCCTTGCCTAATAGACATGACAGATTTAATCACTCCAACAATTTAAAGGTAATACCTTTCCCTTAGCTTTGCCTCAGTGTTGGTAAAGTGGCCCTTTGTTCAGCACAATGCAACAGTCCTCAGTGCCACTGAAACTGCCATTGGCCCCTTTAATTATGTACTGAGGGATCAGTATGGCAGCCAAAACTCTAGTCTGCAAATACTTACAGGCAGAGTCTATTTCTTAATAAAAGACATAGCATCAAGCACGTAAAGCACACAATCTTAGGAGAGGCTTCAAGGCCTATTTCAAAGGTGCCGATTATGGAATTCAAAACAAAGCATCAAATTGCAGGGATGGATAAAATCCACAAGCCAAAGAAACAAGCCGCAGAACACTTTTCTATCCTTAAAAGAGGAGAATTATTATTCCCACCATGTTTTTAAACAGGAAGTACTATTAGATGACCAACATATTTGCTACTGGCAACGTGGTTGAATTTGTACATGGCATTAAAGTCACAATCTGCTGATGAAGCCAAACACAACAAATGTGTTTGGGTTCACATTTGCAAAGTCAGAACCGAGTAAAATAAATGACGGATTAACACAGTGTGTGAAAGCAACCTTTCTCTTGCTAGCTTACCTGAAGATATCCCGGTTCCCATCATAAGCATCCTTTTGATACTCTATTCCCATTTTTCCAAGTCGTCTGATTCAGAGCTTTTAGTTTAAATATATATATTGACTACAAATATTACTGGTGACCCTTGTAATCAATAAATGATCAGGACTATTGCAGCTGCATCTCAGCTGGAGACTCATGGTTGCAATATTTGTTGGTGATATTACTCCCAAAAGACATACAAGTTTTACTACTGGTAGCTCTTGAGGAAAAACTTGAAGAAAGGGAGAAATTCTGTATTTGCCAACTTATAAAGCTTTGTATTGGCAAGTAGAAAAATAGAGGTGACCTGATTTGCTTTTCATAGCCTGCATTTTGCACACAGATGTTTTAAAACAATAAAAGAAATATTCCAATGTGATTACTGTACTTTCCTGTAAGCCACAAATAGGAACTCAGATTTTTAAGCAATGAAAAGTGAACATACATTGCCCAAAAGATGCTGTCATTATGTGTTTCTTTTAACTCTCCATTATTCCAATTTGGGAAAGGGGTGTGCTTCATTTTGAAAACACACTACAATGAAGAAATGGATTCATCCCTTAATATCCTGTCTGCCTGGTAACTGTGAAAATATACAGTAATCCAATTTGAACACCAAACGTAAACAGATTGAGTCCCCAACATTCTAGGCAAAAGCAGTAATGCCAGATAAACTTAACTTTTACAGAGCCAAAGGAGTACAGCATGAATGCATTCTATACTTTGCACTAAAAAGGCTACTGTATTCTAGGAAGTTCCCGGGCTTTTGATAGGCTCCCTGTTTCAGTAACATAAATTATGTACATAAATTGTACATAAATGGTGAGGAGGTGGAGAGGGTTGGTAGTTTTAAATTTCTGAGTATTTATATCTCGAAGGACCTCTCATGGACTATGAATGTTAACATGCTTGTGAAGAAGACACAGAAGAGATAGTACTTCCTGAGAATGCTCAGGAAGATGAATCTATCTCAAAATCTACTTCTGTCTTACTATCACAGCACCATTGAGAATGTCCTGACATACGGCATTCTTGCATGGTATTGGAGCAGCTCTGTAGGAGACAAAAAGGCTCTACAGAGAATCATTAAAACTGCCCAGAATATAATCAGACTCGAGCTACCAGCTCTGGATGACATCTTCGAATCTTGCTGTTTGAGAAAGTTGCATAACATTTTCAGAGACTCTTTCCATCCTGCTTACAATCTTTTTGGTCTCTTGCCTTCTGGCAGAAGACACAGAACAATTAAAACTCGGACCACACGTTTTCTGAATAGTTTTTATCCCAGAGCTATAATTGCACTCAACAATGAACTAAAGGGCCACCATCAGTGAGCTGTTGGACAGTATTACTTGGTCTGTTGTGTGGATGTTTGGGTGGTTTAGGGGTGGGGATTTGTGGTGGGTGGGAGTGTGTCTGGGGATTGTTGTGTGTGTTGAACCTGGTCTTTTGAGTGTTAAGTGAATTTCTTTGTATGGGTATACTGTGTATACACATACAATGACAATAAAATTATTATTATTATTATTATTATTATTACTACTACTACTTATTACTTATTATAATTATATATGACAGTATACACAGCAAACAAGATGACCATGCTGGATTTCGTATCCCAAATCACTAGTTGAACACTTCCCAAGCGTTTAGGACTGCGTGATGTATCGGCGGATTATGCGAGCAGATCCCAGTAAGGTGGCCTTCTGAAGCTGACCAATGGTGATCTTGTCAGCGCCAATTGTTTTTAAGTGCTTGCCTAGGTCTTTAGGCACAGCACCCAGTGTGCCGAGTACCACTGGAACCACCTGCACTCGTTTATGCCAGAGTCTCTGCAGTTTGATTCTCAAGTCCTCAAGCTATTATTATTATTATTATTATTATTATTATTATTATTATTTAATCTTTGGTGATATTCACAGCCTTTGAGGCTGGTTAATAACTCAGCAGCTCGAGTCCTAACCAAGGACCTAGGAACTGTTAAGATATCCTTGGAGGATGTAAGCTGTTCCGAGTAAAGTGGTTTTTTGTAGTGTCAAATTGTTCAAGTCCGGTAAATTTAGAATTTCTAAATAGCGAGGTAGCCCGTTGGGTATTTCTCCAAAGGCTCCATTACAATATTATTATTATTATTATTATTATTAATAATAATAATAATAATAATAATAATAATTATTATTATTATTATTATTTAATCTTTAGTGAGATTCACAGCCTTTGAGGCTGGTTAATAACTCAGCAGCTCGAGTCCTAACCAAGGACCTAGGAACTGTTAAGGTATCATCGGAGGATGTAAACTGTTCTGAGTAAGGTGGTTTTTTGTAGAGTCAAAATGTTCAAGTCCGGCAAATTTAGAATTTCTAAATAGCGAGGTAGCCCTTTGGGTATTGCTCCAAGGGCTCCAATTTATTATTATTATTATTATTATTATTATTATTATTATTATTATTATTATTATTATTATTATTATTATTATTTTGTTGGAGAAGAGCCTTCAGTTTCTGGAGTCCCTTCCCTGTCCCCTCTTGCACAAGGGTACCAGAAAGTGTCCTCCACACCTGGACAAGCCTCCCCCCCCCTCACGTCGGCCGTTGAAGTTCTCCCTTAAGAGGTACCTAACTGACGGCAATTATGTCTTTTTTTTTTATCTTGCAGACGATCTTTCGCCCAGCGTTTTAAGGAGACAAAAATATTTGTTTGATGTATCGACCCTCTCAGACAAAGAGGAGCTGGTGGGGGCCGAGCTCCGTCTCTTTCGGAAAGCCCCCGGCGATCCTTTCTCCAAGGCTCAGACAGGCTTGGCCCGCCTGCAGGTCTCGCCCTGCCTTTCGGGCCGCCGCCTGGACTCCCGGACTCTGGACTTGCAGGAGGCGGCGCCCGTCCGGCCCGGTGGCGGCAACAGCGGCAGCAGCAGCGGCGGCGGCGGCGACTGGGAGGTGTTTGATGTGGGGCAAGCTTTACCGCCCCTCCGCGGGCCCTGGAAGAAGCGGCAGCAACTTTGCCTGGAGCTGCGGGCCGTCGGGGGGACTCGCTCTCAGCCCCACCCGCAGCTGCTGGACCTGCGGCCCTTAGGCCTGGGCCGAGGCGCCCGCGCCCAGCAGGAGAAGGCGCTGCTGGTGGTCTTCAGCAAGTCGAGGCGGAAGAACCTCTTCGCCGAGTTGAGGCAGGAACCGGGAGCCCGGTCTCCTCCTCCTCCTCCTCCGCCGCCGCCGCCACACGCGGCCGCGCTACCTTGGGAAGCGCCGGCTCCCGTCCAGCTCCGCTTGCAGGCCCGCCGCATGAAGCGCGCCGCTTATAACAACCGGCACGGCAAGCGGCACGGCAAGAAGGCGCGGCTCCGGTGCACCAAAAAGGCGCTGCACGTGAACTTCAAGGATCTGGGCTGGGACGACTGGATCATCGCCCCGCTCGAGTACGAGGCGTACCACTGCGAGGGCGTGTGCGACTTCCCGCTGCGCTCGCACCTGGAGCCCACCAACCACGCCATCATCCAGACCCTCATGAACTCCATGGACCCGGGCGCCACGCCGCCCAGCTGTTGCGTGCCGGCGAAGCTGACGCCCATCAGCATCCTCTACACCGACGCCGGGAACAACGTGGTGTACAAACAGTACGAGGACATGGTGGTCGAGTCCTGCGGGTGCAGGTAGCGGCGCGCCTCCGTCCCCGGCTGCCCGTCCCCCCCGTCGGAGCGGAAGGGCGGACGAGGAAAGCCTCGGGGAGCTTACACGGCGGAGCGCGAAAGAGTGTCGGAAAGACGCGCGAGGGAAAGACGGACGGAACTCGCGCCACGTGCGAGCCCCTCGCCCCGCACTGGGGAAAGGATTGGGCGGTCCGGACTGCGCCTGCGCAATGTCTGCTTCGTGTGTTCGAGTTCCTGCTTCTAAAGCAGGGGACTCCAACCTTGTCGACTTTAAGCCTGGTGGACTTCAACTCCCAGAATTCCCCAGCCAGCTTTGCTGGCTGGGGAATTCTGGGAGTTGAAGTCCACCAGGCTTAAAGTCGACAAGGTTGGAGACCCCTGTCCTAAAGAGCCGGGAGAAAGAGAGAGAGAGAAAGTACAATAGCTGACGCCGTTTTGGGAACAGCCTCCATGCCTCCGCGTCCAGGCCAAGCCGTCTCCCCTAGGATGGGAGATTTTGCTCCGAAAACACGTGGCGAAAGTTGCTCTTGAAGGCTTCCTCGATCGATGTCTCTCCTCGACTGGAGGCTGGAACTACCCAAGCGAGTAGTGCGACTCGTTTTGCAGAAATTAAGCCTTTGATTTTTGGATCCGGAAACACAACATGTTCTGGGATAATTCCCTGCCCTTGCTACTTTCCTTGTAGTAGATATCCTTGCAGTTCCTGGAAGAATTTTTTTTTTCCCTAAAAAAAAAATAATAAAAAAAATATGGAGAATCAGGGAGGTTACCCAAGTCTCTTAAGAGAGGCAACGTGGGGAGTGGTGGTGAGAAATTGACTTGTGGGAACTAGGCAAAGACACGTGTCGTCGGTCACTTTCGTAACTGGTGCTAGCCTCGTGCACTCCTCTCGTTGGCGGACCTTGGCTTTTACATTCAGGTTTTAAAACGGACTTCTTTTACTTTTTCTCCCTGCTCCCGTGTCGTTCACCTGTGCTGTTGCGGACGATCTGCGTTGAAGCGGCAATCGGTGGTTTCTAATTTGTGACTTGAAGGCAAGGGAAGAAATAGACGAGGCAAAACTGCACCGCTTCCAATGCAGGATTCCGTTCCAAGAATGTAATCCTGGTATTCTCTTCTAGGCTCTGCTTTTAAAGAGAAAAAAGTATTAGGAAAAGCAAGTGTGGAGAAAGTTCAATTTGACAATCCTTGAGTCCAGAATTGTTTCTGTGTTTCCCTTACAAATATTTCCATCCTGAAACTGATTAAATACTTCCTTCTTCCTCTAAATAAATGCATAAATAGAAAATCGGTTCCACTCTATAATTATTAGTTAGGTGGCTGATCTTTTAAATGTATTAATTAGAAGCTGTGGAAAGAGCTACAGGAGGGACATACTGGGAAGGTTTAGAGCAGGGGTCTCCAACCTTGGCAACTTTAAACCTGAAGGACTTCAACTCCCAGAATTCCCTAGGCAGCTTTGCTGGCTGGGGAATTCTGGGAGTTGAAGTCCCCCCAGGCTTAAAGTTGCCAAGGTTGGAGACCCCTGGTTTAGAGGGTTATGAAGGAGCTCCTTAATTTCAAAATTAGGAGGAGAGCCTTCTCTGTGGTGGCACCTACCCTTTGGAACAATCTACCCCCAGAGATACGAGTGATCTCCGACCTCCGGACTTTTCGTCGGGCCCTAAAAACTCATCTCTTTCAGTTAGCTGATCTCTCTTGATTTTATTATTTTATGGTTGGTTTTAAATTTTGATATGGATTTTAAATTGATAAATTTTAAACTATGGGCCAAATTTAATTATTTTAAATCTATTTTTAATTGTACTTTATGTATAAATGTTTTTATTTTGGCTGTTCACTGCCCTGAGTCCGAAAGGAGAAGGGCGGTATAGAAATTTGAATAATAAATAAATAAATAATAAATAAAATGTTCAAAATTCAAAAGTTCCAGGAAGGGCAGGTAGGGAGGTTGGCCAGTTGCAGTGGTGCTTTATAGTTAATACAGCTATGAAGCTGAGAAAGACAATAATTAAACACTGCTCCACAATTCAGGCTCTGCATCTCACAAGACTTGGAAATATTCCTGAGGCATTTCCTTCTCTTGTGGATTCAGGATTTCATAGAACTTCAGAAGGGTGGGGAGAGTGGATGAAAGACGTATTAGTGTATAAATAAATAGATATAAATAATATAAAATGCTAATAAAGGAAAGCCTTCATCAGGAGCGATAATTTAAAAGAAAGTGCACACTTTGGTTTGGATACAGTGTTGTTCATATTGAAGCTGTAAATATTTATTTAAAACAGACTGCAAAGTACAAAAATGGAGGTGAGCAATGTACATTTCCCCTTTTCCCTTAATGCCCAGAGCATTATATGCACTCAAGTGTCTAATATTTTTTTAAAATAAATTTGAGCTGTACAGATTTAAGCATTAACCAAATGTTTCATTTGTATGTCTGCAATGTTACCATTTTTTCCCACTCTTTAAAATGTTCCTGCAAGATTTAAAATTACTTGCTAATGAAGAGTTTCTACTGTCTACCTCACTGTGTTGCGAAGGCTTGATCTTCTGGGAAGACTCACCAATCAGGCCTAGTTCCCATTCATTTCAGTGATGCTCTGAGCAGGACATCTTGCTGGGTTGTATTACAAATGTTTACAGCATAGCAATCCTCTGCGCACTCACCCGGGAATAAATGCCATTAAGTAGTTAGAGCTTATCTCTGAGTTAGAATGGATGGGATTGCTGTGTAATGTCCTCTAAGATCAATTTATGCCTAGAACATTTTTACGGTATACTTTTACTGGATGGTATTAAAACTATGACTGTATTATTAAACTTTTTGCATAAAAATGTTGCTTTTTTGTTATGGTTAAACAGTCTCATATATTTATTATACCAGAATGTTGGCTATAAATTCTAAAAATGCTCTCAGAAGGTTTGAAACAACCGACACCTCAAAATACTTCAGTCTGTATTTTATAAAACTTTTTGAAATACTTATGGATTGTCTTTTATTAAGAGTAGTGTAACATTTCTAAGTTTAGACTGCTTTGATCTATTTAAGAGATTCCACTCTTCAGAAAAATTTAAAGATGCATTAGACCTGGTTTTGTACAAAAATTCTTTTATGGGAAAGAAAAGTTGTAATCAGTATTGATACCCAATACTGTTTCAGGGTTGGTTGCCCATGGCAGTGATGTTTTGTGAAAATGAACAAGCGCTCATATTTGAAACACAGATGCCTTGATTGCATAGTCTTGTACTCGAACATGGAACTCTTATACATAAATGTTGTGCTAGAATAAAGTGGACATCTTTGAAATGAGGCAGTATCTCTCCACACACACACAAACCCATTTTTTCAGTGTTTTGATAATGGAAAGATGAGTTTGGCTCAGTCATTTAAAAGAGGCCAGAGTAGAAAACTAATGCCATGTAGATCAGTGCTACTTTTATTATAAAGCTATAGAAATAGAAGCTTCCAATTTTGAGCATGCTTCCTTCCGTCTCCCTTTATCCTCCTGTGAACTTAGGTAAGAGCTTGTCTGAGACATTTACTCACATTACATTCTTGGCCAGGGCTGATCATTGCCTTGATAGAGAATCTCTGTTCCTCAAGGTCATTCCTTCTTCACACTACAGTTTGTGACATCCCTGGTAAGCAGGAGTGGCTTTTTTCTGTGATTTGTGGGGGGAAGCTTCGGTAACAGAGCTATGTTGATTTGGCAACAAGCAAATTTTAGTGGCACAGTCTTGGAGACTTTGAGGAATTGTACAAGAGGGGAAGTTTGTATGTTACTGAGTACTTATCTTTGGAGTAGATCTTTGAAGAAACGTGTTTATGGAATCAAGTGGAGAACCCTTGGAGTTGGGTTAGCACTGACCCACATCAAAGCCTGCATATGTTTTGATGGTGTACAATATGAGGATGGCTAAATATGCCAATATCCTGTGAAAATAGAATAGGTTAAGCAGACATGTCAAACATGCGGCCTGTAGGCCAGATCTGGCTCACCATAGGCCCAGGGTTGTCCCATGGGGCCATCCTGGAGACAGCAAGGGACTGGCTCATGCTTCCCCGGCCATGCCCACCCACTCAGCTGTGATGACCAAGCCATGCCCACCTGGCCCCCCAAGGTCAAACAAAATGCTGATAAAGCCCACAATGGGATTGAGTTTTACACCTCTAGGTTAATACTACAAAGCAGAAGACTGAATTCAAATCCCACCTTCACCTTGAGATCCAGTTGGGTAATTTGTGGCCACTCACTCGCAGCCCAACCCTCCTCACAGGTTGTTGTTGTGGGGAAAATAGGAGGAGGAAGATGTTCTGTGTATGTTTGCCACTTGGGTTGTTTGTAAAAATAATAAAGGCGGGATGCAAATAAGTAAGTAAATATTATTTACATCAGTGGCATTTAGGCATCTTTAATATACCCAGCATGTAGAAGAAACTAAAAGTGATAAGATGTAGTTCATAAAAATATAAGAATTAGAGCATCATTCATTTCTTGCAGCAAGAATAAATGTTTGGCAATACACCTCTTGGAAAAGAATGGTGGTGAGCAATGTGTATTCATATGTTTAGATCAGGGAACAATAAATGTATTCCATTTATTCCCAGGAAATCCTTGCCATTATTCTCTACTGATACATGCTGTGTCCTCCCTTCCTTCTGAAGGCATTTTAATGCCTTCGCAAAATATATTTCCCTCTATTAGCTGTTTGGGACATTGAGCTGATTTTCATATTAGCTGTATGGTGCAAATGGGGGAATCCAGGACAAGAAACGCCTAGGACCATGATGGCGAACCTATGGCACGCGTGCCACAGGTGGCACGTGGAGCCATATTGGAGGGCATGCGAGTGTTGCCCTAGCACAGCTCCAGGATGCATGCGCATGCTGGCCAGCTGATTTTTGGCCTTCTGGGCCCACCAGAAGTCGGCAAACAGGCTGTTTCCAGTCTCCAGAGGGCCTCCGGTGGGGTGGGGTGGGGAAGGCTGTTTCCGCCCTCCCCAGGCTCCTAGAAAGCCTCTGGAGCCTGGGCAGGGCAAAAAACAGGCCTACCATGCCCACCGTGTCATCACATGCCAAAAGTGGGGAGAGCATGGGGGGGTTGCACACACATACGTGGGGGAGCAGGGCACATAGAATTATGGGTGTGGGCACGTGCACGTGCAACTACCCTGCACTCCCCCAGCTTTTTGCACACGATGGCAAAAAGGTTAGCCATCACTGGCCTAGGAGCTACATCAAGCACTTTTTTTTTTAATT